AGCATTCTCTATGGGGTGCGGCAGGTGGTATGGTGTTTAAGGCTCTGAATTCCCACAGGGCTGACCGCTGTTTAAGTCCCAGACCTGGTGGCTCAAAAATCACGCTGAGTGTGTGTGCATGTATGCCCCAAATCCCAGGAAAATGGAGGAAAGGGGCTTATGGCATGGCCATCCCCCCCAGGGGGTGTTTCTCACTTTCCCTCTCACTGTCTCCCTCTGTCTCTCTCCAGTGAGTGCACACCTATGGCAAACCACTCAACCCCTCAAAAAAACAAAACACAAAAAAACAAAAAAAGGATTCTCTGTGTATGATTCAGGGAATACGCCTGTTCTGAGGCAAGACGATCATTTGTTTCTGCCAGCCATTTGTTTCTGCAACTGAGAAAGGAGGAAGATGGACTTCCATGATTTTATAAAAATGTGCATTTCATAAAAGACTTGAATAACTGTCCCCTTTACCAATGCATCATCATTTTGGTGTTCAGACTTTTAACTACTACCATTGGAGGTGGAGTTTCCAGAAAGCCATCTGAGCTAACTGCTAAGCACTGTTACTGAGCGGAGAATGAAGGTTGAACCTCACCAAAGTGATTGTGTACATTTTTGAAAATTATTTCATTTATCAAAGTGGAATTCACAGCACTTTTGAACAAAAAGTGGGCAAATGATCAAAATGGCATTGAATTAGAAAAAACTAATTGAGTGATCTTTATTGAAACCCTGTATACTAGAGTTGGTGAAGGAAACAATCATTCTGGTTGACATCATGGCATTTATACCATGTGCCAGGCAGAGCCAGATCAAAGGGTGGGTTATCTGTGTGGCTGCCCAAAGCAAAAATCCATAAGCAGCACTAGAATGTCAAGGGAGGGGAAAAAAAGAGAAGGATAAAGAGAAAGAGGAGGAGGAGAAGGAGATAAAGAGAAGGAGGAGGGAGAGGAGGAGGAGGAGGAGTGAGGGAGCCAGTTTTCTGAAGACTTCACACAGGATTCCTTCAAAGCTGGCAAACTGGTAGGTGAATCCCCTCCCACCGACATAGTAAGGTTGTGTTTTGGTGGAGGAGATCAGTGGCATTGAATCAGGTTGAGGGCATGACTTTCAAGCTAGGACTACCCCCAGGTGAAGGAGCCAGCCACATGGAGAGCCAAGACAGGAATGTTTCGTATAAAAGAACATTGAGTGCAAAGGACTTGGTTGCAGGTGATTAGGGACTGGAGCACTAAAAGCCTGGCCCAGAGGTGTCAGTGAGATTGGAAGGTACTCAGGAGCCATGGGCAAGAATTGTAATCATATTTGAGCTGTGATAGAAAAACATTGAAGTTTCAGCAGGGGAGCAGCGTGAACTGACTGCCTTTGGAAAGATCTATTTGGCTGTTATGAGATTAGAGGCAAGAATTAGATAAGTGACTCCTGGGGGTAGGATTATCCAATGAGAGATGATAGATGGGAGAGGTGTAGACAATGGGCATGAAGAGAAGTGGGATGATTCTCTGTTGCTGTAACAGAATACTCTAGACTTGGTAATTTATGAAGAACAGAGGTTTATTTAGCTCATGATTCTGGATGCTGGGATTCTGGATTCTGGGAAGTGCAAGGTCAATGGACTGGCATCCAGTGAAGACCTTTGGCTGCATGATAACCTGGTGGAGGCAGCACATGGTGAAAGCAAGCATGCTAGAGAGAGCTCGCTTTTGTAAGAAAGCCACTCCTGCGGCCAGCAGGTGGCGTAGTGGTTACACAGTTCAAGTCCTGGACTTGGCTTGAAATTCATGCTGGGCACATGTACGGGGCGGATCCAGGATCCCAGGAGGTGAATGGAGGAGAAGGGATTGTGCTGTGACCATCCTCCCTGGGGGCTTTTTCTCACTTTCCCTCTCACTGTTTCTCTCTCTCTCTCTCTCTCTCTCTCTCTCTCTCTCTCTCTCTCTCTCTCGTGCGTGGTACACATGCCCTATGGCAAAAACCTTTAAAAAAAAAGAAAAAGAAAGCCACTTTCATAATGAACCCACTCTTGTTATTAGCCACATTCATCCCTTCATGCAGGCAGAGCTGACATTAATCCACTTGTGAGAGCAGAGGGATTAAGTATCCAACACATGAACTTTTAGAGGCCCCATTCACACCATAGCTGGATGTTTGTGGATGAGAGGATGGACAAACAAATATTACGGATCTTTGAGAGCTCATGGAAATGCATAAAAAAGTATGCATAGATTTCAACTTTTTTACACCAAAATAAACTCTTACATTAATTCTATTTTTCTATGAACTTTTTGAAGTGCTCTGTTTAACTCTTAGAAGCATGGCTCTCTCTCTCTCTCTCTCTCTCTCTCTCTCTCTCTCTCTCGGCCTGTCCCCCTCTTTTAATTAAAACAAACAAACAAAAACCCCAGCACAGAATAAGGTACTCCAGGGAGATGATGAGGCAGCTGGGTAGGAACAGTGGCTCTGGGCCCTTCCTGAGGAATGCCAGTGTTCAGACCTCAGATAGAGGAAGCCCTGCAAAGGAGGCTGGGAAAGAGCAGCTGTGAGATTGGAGAAATTTCGAGGGATCAATTCCCTTCAGACATGAAGGGGTGGAAAATTCCAAACTAGTGTTATTTTATTTTTAGTGCATAAAACACTTCCTTTTTATTATTATTATTATTAACCACATAAAGGAGTCTATGTGAAGGATCCGTTTTTTACTGCTATTACCACCCACTGTGTGTGCAGAAGTCCGCCATGAAATGCTGTTGAGAGAAGTATGACTATCCTCCCAACTCCTAAATCCAAAAAGGGGTCATTGATCTGATTGTATTTATCCCATGTTCAATCTGTCCACGAGTCCTATCGGTTCTATCTTCTAAACGTCCCACATCCACTGACTTCTCAGGCTCTCGCTGCTATTCCCCTGACCCAGACCTCTATCTCTTTCCTGGACAATAGCTGCTTGCTAGCTTGGCAAGGGGGAGTTGCTGTTTCCATGCTTACTCTCCTACAATCTATCCTCCCTGTGGTAGCTAAGGGATCTTTCTAAAAAACAAAAGACAATGTTACCTTAAAACCCTCAAGTGAGAGGAACCAGCAGATGGCGTAATGGCTATGTCACTGGACTCCCGCGTGGTCAACCGTGATTTGAGTCCTGGACCTAAGGGCTTGGAACTCGTGCCAGGTATGTGTGCATGTGTACCCAAAATCCTGAAGGGAGAATGGAGGAGAAGGGATCGTGACGTGATCATCCTCCTTGGGAGGTGATTTCTCGATTTCTGTCTCTCTGGTGAGTACAAGTGCCCTATAGCAAAAATCTCTCTCTGAAAAAAAGATTCTTAAATAACAAACAAACAAAACCCTCAAGTGAGGGAAGAGTCAGATAATGGTGGAGTGTAACATTAGGTTGTGCAATGCTGACCCTCAGGGGGAAGGTTCAGGGTTTGCCTCTAGAAACCTGCCTGAGTACCCAGGGCACGTGCTGGGGCTGGTTGAGGCTAAAGGTGAATTACAGCGTCAGGACCCTGTTGGAAGTGCTACCTCTTTGTTTTGCTCTGTCTCTCTCATTCATGGAAAAAATAAATACATAGAACTTTATTTTTGCTAGCTCTGTAGCCCAGTGGTTAAACACTGTGCATAAGGAGCCAGATCTCACATGACTGGCCATGGTTCAAATCCCGGCCCCAGCAGCTTGTAAAATGAACTAGGCATGTGTACACACATGTCTAAAATCCTGACGAGGTAGAGAGATGAAAAAATAATTGCAACAGGGAGTGCTTTTTTCTCTTTTCTCTGGCAAGCTCATGCACCCTCTGGCAATTAAAAAGTTTTGTTGTTGTTGTTTTTAGAGATATTTTTGCTATAGGGTGAGTACACATGCCAGAGAGACAGAAAGAGATAGAAAGAAAGTGAGAAATCACCCCCCCCCCCAAGGAGGATAGCCATGCTGTAATTCCTTCTTCACCATTCTCCTTTTGGGATTTTGGGCACACATGCACACACACCCAGAGTGAGTTTCAAGCTGCCACAATCCCTTTTCCTTGGTTCTTCTCTCAGGATTTTGGGCACACATGCACATGCCCCTGGTGTGAGTTTCAAGCTGCAGGGTCTGGGATTTGAACCATAGTTGGCCATGTGGGAGTCTAACCCCATAACCACTATGCCATCTGCTGGCCCCCATAAAGTTTTAAAATACACACACACACACACACACACACACACAGAGACACATACACACACACACACACACACAGAGAGAGAGACAAATGAAAATGTTACTTTAAAACCCTCAAGTGGAAATATCTTAATGATTACTAACAGGGAACTGATTAAATACACAATAGTACACACATGCAATGGAATAGTATGTAGATGTACACAAAAAAAGTGCTAGAAAAAAATTCTACTTGTATTGAAAGAAATTATCTCCAAGACAGGAAGTGAAAAAAGCAAAGTGTGAATATTATGTTACCATTTGTAAAAGAAAAGGGAAGGGGGACCAGCAATTGGTGTAATGGCTATGTTGCTGGACTCCCATGTAGTCAACTGCGGTTTGAGTCCCGGATCCAGTGGGTTAAACTCATGCAGGGCATGTGTGCGTGTGTGCCTAACATCCTGAGAGAATGGAGGAGAAGGGATTGTGGTGTGGCCATCCCTCTTACGGGGTGATTTCTCATTTTCTGTCTCTCTGTCTTTCTCTGTCTTTCTGGTAAGCGCCCTATAGAAAAAACCTCTCCAAAAAAAGAAGACAGAAAGAAAAGGGAAGGAATGCATGTGATTGCATATGCACTTAATGCCTCTGTCAGGGAAAACATACGAAGCTGGTACCTAGATGGCTTCTAGAGAGAGCATTTGGGCAGAATGAGGATAGGGTGGGAGGAGGACTATCTACCTTTGGGTACTTCTAATTTCAAGTCCTGTAACTGTTGAAAAGTCAGTCATATTATGTAATCATCTGTTCAACAATAAATCAATTAAATTAATATTTTTTACATGAATTAAATAATCAGTTCACTTCCTATGTTACTTACCAGAAAATCTTGTCTCCTCATCCTTCCCTACAAGGCGTTATAACCAGCCTGCCCTGATCTCTGCTTTTGTCTTCTAGCACTTCCTCACTAGGCTCCAGCCATGCTGGCCTCCTCTTGATCCTTACCATGGCAAGTGTGGCTTCTTCTGAGGGCTTTTGCTGTTGTTGATCCCTCAGCCTTGGCCTCCCTGAACAATCCCCTATGACTCACTCCCTACGTATAGTCTCTGTTCAGAAGCCACTTTGTCAGAGAGGTCTTTCTGACCTCAACTTGCATGTGCTGCCCCCCACTGCTGTTACTGAAAAATCCGTGTTCTACTGTTGTCATAGCAATGGCCCTATCTGAAATTTGTTTATTTACTTGCTTATTATATGTCTCCCCAGTATGATTATGTCACCATAAACTCCATGCCTAGAATATGGCCTACTTATACTAAGCAAATATCTGCCTATCTTTCTTTTTCTTAATTATCCTTATTTATTTGACTTTAAGCATGGAGTTAAGGGTATATTACAGTTATTTATTTATTTGTCCTAGTTTATTTCTTTCATGGTGGGGGGACCGGGGTCTTGTCACGCCATAATCCCCTTACCCTAGCCTCCAACTTTTCGGGATCTTGGGTGTGTGTGTGCAAGTGAATGGTTTATTTCAGGTCCACTTGGGAGCCAAACTCGGGTTGGCCAGGGGGCTTCACTGTAGATTGATACATTATTGTCTGCCACCGAGGCTGGGCCAACAAATATTTGTTAATGGATGAAAAAGTTTTCTTTATTCTTTTTTTTTTTTTTTTTTGGAGAGGTTTTTGCTATAGGGCACATACGCTCACCAGAAAGACAGAGAGACAGAGAGACTGAAAGCAAGAAATTACCCCCCAGGGTGGATGGCCATGCCACAGTCCCTTGTCCTCCATTCTCCTCTTGGGATGGTGGGCAGGCATGCACATACACCTGGTGTGAGTTTAAGCCACTGGGTCCGGGACTCAAACTGCAGTCGACTACATGGGAGTCCAGCGACATAACCATTACACCAACTGTTGGTCCCGTCTTTATTCTTTTTTAAGAAAATAATTATTTATTTAATTTTATTTATTTGTTATTATTATTACTTTTTAATTTGACCAGAGAGAGATAGAGAAAGTGGCATAGTGATTGAGAGACAGAGGGAAAGTGAAAGTGAGAAAGCAAGCTACCAGTCCAGGACTTGAACCATAGTCAGCCATGTGAGAGCCCAGTGCCTTAACCACTACACCACCTACTAGCCCAGTATTTCTCTATTCTTACTGAAGCCTCATTATGGTCCTTACATTTTCAAGAGTGCTAACAATGCTCGCCTTCTTCCTCTGCAGTTCACAGTGACAGCAGAAAGACTGTAACTCTAATTCTGGCTTTGCTTTGTTTCAGGTCTGTGTCATTGGGCAGGTCACAAAAACCTCGCTGGGATTTTTGTGAAGAGTAAATGACATCTAGGGTACAAAATGCCAGTTCTGGCAGGCCTCCATGGAAACAAATCGAATAGGAATGGCTGGTGCCCATTTCTGGAGGAGGTTGGGTCCGGCCAGGGGCGATGATCTACCCAGAGTCATGTAACCTGGGACGCAGGCGCAGGTCTCTGCTTCCAGGGCTTTCGACTCCATGCTTCTTGCCTGACTGTAACAGCCCTTCGTCCTCCCTGTTTCCTAACCGCACCCGGGCCCCGCTCCGCCTCCACTGGGAAGGGAGTTCATGCTTATGATAGATCAACAATCCTGATAGTTAGTCTCTTTACTGGTAATTGGTAGTTTGTCTTTTGATTTTCTCCTTGTAAACGAGTGCTATGTTTTGGCCCAGAAAACAGTACACAGAGTTTCTAAACAACATCATCAAATTAAATGCAGTGCCACACTGACTTAGGGAAGCCATTCATCTCGTTGTTTCTTAAGAGGAATGAAACGGTTGATCAGCTTTTGCCTCCACGTGTTTATTTGTTATAAGTGAGAGAAACACCAACATTTAGAGCTAGAGAATTGAACCCATATTCCAGTCTAAGTGCCTAAATACAAAGTCATTTTCCAGACATCGTATTCATATTTTATTTTCTCAATTTAGACGGCAGCCCGCAGAAGAAGGGCTGGGTTTGTAATGACCTGGAGAATGCAGTGAGTCTCTGAAATTGACAACAGATGCCACCAGTGCCACATTGCTCACAGAGCCATCAGTGCTACCTGGCATTTTAGAGCTCATACATATTCTTAGGCATCATAAAATCCTCTGCAAGAATGCAGTGGCTTATTGTGAAAATTTCTGCCTTCCTGTGTCAGCCCCTATATCACATCTGACCTTGTTTATTCCTGCAGTGGCTTAAGGGAGTCTCAGACATGATCACCATTTCCCAGGCAGAGCAACTGAGTCTCAGAGTTGTCCAGTATTGCGAAGGGTCATGCAAAGAATGACCCAGGCCTGTTGGGCTCCAAAGCTGTGTTCTTTCCATGCCATCTTTGGTGAGTGTCTAGCATCACTAGAAAGAATCCCGCAAATGTGCCATCCTTCAAGAGTGCCTACCTTGCAGCTGCCCATCTGCGTGTTAGAGTTATTCAGATTCGGAGCGTCGCATCGAAGCACATCAGTAGAGGTGAGTGGGCTGAAATGCAGAATTTAAGCAAGCAAAATGATAGCACAGAAGCTCCCAGAAGCAGAATCCCAATAGGCCCCCTAGCCTGTGGCTCCCTGAGGCTGTCACTGACATTTGAAAAGCTCGCTAAGTATACATCCTGTTTTCCTTTTCTAGCTCCTCTCTGTGAAGTGGCAATCAGCTTTGTCATTCATTCTTCAGGAAACCAGCCCGGGTGTGCCAGGGCGACTGCTACTGAGAACCTAAGATGTCTCTTTCTTATAAAATCTGGGAACAAAGCCGCTGTGTGCGCTCTTTGATTCCCGTCGCTCTTTTCAGCACCATGTGGAATGTGCTTGTCATGCCACCAAAGCTCGGGTGAGTTGGGGAGGGCAGCAATGAGGAGCGTAAGGCACGGATGTCATCTTCAGAGTTTTGGAGTGGGGGATAAGGGGTATTAACATTTATTAAGCTTTCCCTGTGGGCCGAGTGGTTTCTAAACGTGGTCTCACCTAATCAAAGGGCCTTGCTAAGTAGCTATAGCCCCTTCCTGTTTCACAGATGGGGATTGAGGGGCCCGGAGGTCACATGACTTAGCTAGGACAGGAAGCCTGGATTCAAAGCAAGTCCCTCTGGACATCCATCTCATTCTCCCTTGTATCCCCACTCTGTTCCCTATGCCAGCCCCTCCCCTGTGCCTTTCTCCGGGGTGGCTCTTCAGAGATGTGACTTCTATATCCAGTTCTGTTCTAGGCTGGACAGCCATGGATGCTGTAGCCCTTAGATCAGCAGTTTCCGATGATGAGAATAGCGCGGTAGTTGTTACGTGCTCAAACTAGGCCAGGTCTGCTCAGCATCATTGCTGGAGCTCCTGCCTCGAGTGGAATTTTGGTGCTGGGTACTGAGGAAATAGAGGGTCTTACCTTTGTGCATGGGGGTGGGGCTAGCAGATACTGGTTTTGTTGTTGTTTTTAAATGTATGTGTGTGTGAGAGAAACACCTGCAATGAGGTCTCTTCATGCCACCATCCTCTTCTCCTGGCCCTCAAACTCCTCAGATTCTTGGGCGTCCACACATGCACTCAGGGTGTTTTGGGGGCCAACCCAGAGATCCGAACCCACAGTCTGCCATATGGCTTCTGACTTTGCAGGGCACTTGGGCTACCTCTGCACTACAATGACTGGGCCAGATGCAGGTGTTTTTGTAACCTACAAAGCCCCATACAAAGCAAGTTAAGATGAAGTGAATATTATGACCTCAACTAAAATGTGGAGAAGGTTTCTTTTCTCAGAATAGCCTAAGATTAGGTTAGAAGCTTTCAAACAGAGGATCAACTTGGAAATGAAAGAAAGATACACCCTCCAAAAAGTATAGAAATAAGAATTTGCCAAAGACAGATTTAGTTTTTGTTTTGTTTTGTTTTTGATAGAAATTGTGTGTGTGAGCATGAGAAAGAACAGGGTCTCATCACACTGTGATCTCCCTTCCCCAGCCCTCTGGCCTGCCAGGATCTTGGGCACCCACACATGCATCTGGCATGCTTTCAAGCTGACCTGGGACCTGAACCCACCCTTGGCCTGACTGTCCCACCAGGCTGGGCAGGATTCAGGAAATCCTTTAAGCCTGGTGGATGGTTACGTGGGCAATGGGCCACTGAGGACCGGAGGAACAGAGCTTTCCCCTCCAGTGGTCCAGATGTAGTTTGGGGCAGGGAATCCCTGCTGCCCACCTTATAGTAGGGCTCCTTTTTCCCCCCAGGTGAAGGGCTTCCACCTGTTCATTCATCACTGCATAATCCATAAATTAATTCATTCATGCCATGTCTCTCTCTCTCTCTCTCTTTTTTTGCTATAGGGTGTATGCACTTACCAAAAAGACAGAGAGACACAGAAAGCGAGAAATCCCCCCCCCCAGGGGGGATGGCCACACCACAATCCCTTCTCCTCCATTCTCCTCTTGGGATCTTGGACACCCACGCACACGCACCCAGTAAGAGTTTAAGCCACTGGGTCCGGGACTTGAACCACGGTCCACTACATGAGAGTCAAGAGACATAACCATCACATCAACTGCTGGTCCCCTCTCTCTTTTAAACTTGCTATAGGAGGTGTGCACTTGTCTGAGAGAGAGAGAGAGAGAAAGAAAACCCCCGGGGGATGGCCGTGCTGCAATCTTTTCTTTTCCATTGTCCTTTCAGGATTTGGGGCACTCATGCACTCGCTCATGCCCAGTGTGTTCTTCAAGCTGCTGGGTCTGGAACTCAAACCGCTTGGTGGGCCATGTGGAATCCAGTTGCCTTAACCACCATGCCACCTGCTGGCTCCAGTCATGTCTCTTATACCCAGCACCTGGAATTAACAGCTTATACTATATAAGTTCAAAAAATTAGTTTTCAAATACAAAGAAAGCATGCTTTTTCTTAAGAAGATACTTAAAAACAGGAACTTAGATGTGTAAAATTTCTCTGTAATTCCGCTTCCTCCACTAACCCAGCTCTGTTCTACCCTGGCTCCTCACATGGGCCTCACCCACAGGGTGCTGATAACAGGGCTCGAGGAAGAAAAAGAAAGAACTAGCCATGTCTGACAAATGGGAACCTCTAAGAATTGGTACGACTAGAGTCTGGGGAACTCTAGAGCTGGTTCCTCCAAGCTGTGGAGGCGTTTGGTGCCAGCTGGGCCAGGGGGTC